ACCGAAATATAATATGCTATACGATAAAATACAGCAAACACTTTGAAAAACATAATTTAAGACCTCTACGTTAGAACGTTGCTTGCGCCCCAAGTTAAACCACGCGTTTCCATAAAGAGGTTATAGGAAAAGAAGAAGAAAAAAAAAACGTAAAATGTAATAGAAAACATTTGTTCGCACGATTGAATTATCTACGTTTGTGATAACAATCGTAATATCCCGAAGCGAATACTTGAACATAACAAAAGAAGCGTAAAAAAAGCAAACATTTCGTTTAATTCAATCGATATGTAGAATATATTTTTTTTACTTTGTGCTCTTTATTTATTTGGCTTACGCCCTACTTGAATACTTTCACTGCTTTTATTTGCTTTATTTTTATCCGCACGAGCACCAACGATATATTATGTGGATTGTGATAAGGTTAGGTGCGCGAGCAGGAATTTACGCAATCGTCGGCAATCAGTAGCAATGGATTATCATATTCTCTACCGTCGTCTTCGATTTGTAAATACGTTTTTACAGTCTTTGCACGTTCATTTCACGACTGTCGAAATAAATATTTTCGTATAATAAAGATATTGCCTTCGACCCTTGACCTTGAATCTTCGATTTAACTCGAATTTTTAATTAATTCAGCAGTTTAACGTGTACTGCGCATTTGTTACGATGAATCGTCATTTTGTTATGTTTTTTTTCGTTCGCTACTCTGCCGATTCGGCGAGTATTCGTGATAACTACAATCTTTTCCACTCGATAGGATCCATATGTTACGGGAAAAAATTATTTAATTTGAGAATTGCAATTTATCAACTCGATATTGGATTTGTACATAACGATTTTAATTATTCCCACGGCTCGTTAATACATTTTTTTGCAAATATAAAATTATGGGAATTTTTTGAAAGCGTAATATAAGAAATTTAGTTTTAATTAAATATGCCCTATTCTTATTATTAGTTTGATATTTCATATTTCTGATTTTAGCTAAATACTTTTCGTATTTTAAATTAAAGAAATGTTTTGAATATAATGATGATGTAACTTATCGCAATTCTTTAAATTATGATTGTATAACCTGTTAATAAAAACAGGTGTAACAGCTGTGCAGATTTCATATTGCGTAACATTACATTCACTTTCAAGAGCTGTTATTATTTTTTTCGTCATTCTAATTACCAATCTTAGATTGGTGTAATTTTTGATCGACATATGGCTCTTCAAATATTTTTCATATTAATCTATTATTGGAGAATAATAATTATTAATCCATTTTCTGAAAAATTATTTTACAAACATATTTTTGTACAATGCTTTAAGAATATTAAAATAAATATTACTTTTTATTGTTAATACTGATAATCACTATATAACAAATGTATGTGGAATATAACTCCATATGGCAACATGACGTCTAACTGATAACTTACAAATATATGTGAATCATTTCACATCGTTAGCTTTCGGTAATCATAATTAACATCTCACGTGAGAACTCATAAGTAATTTAACTACATACGTAATTCTTGACAAATATACGTTTAAATCATACGCTTTGTGCTTCAATGACAGGCGGAAAAAGAGCTGAGTTTACATCCGACGAAGATTCAGTCAACAATGATGCGTGTAGTGAAACCAGCGGCCAATCCGACAACCGCAGCATGCTGGAGGACGCAAACGACAACGAGGTGGACGAACTCGCGCAGCAGGAGACGTTTGAGGAAAAACTGAAGGAGGCGATCGACGGTCTGACGCAGAAGAGCGCCAAGGGCCGAACCATCTGCTTCAACGGCATAGAGAAGATCTTCGCTATCAAGTATATCCCCGACTTTGTCGAGGACCGAAAGATGACCATCACGGATGCCGTGGAGCGCAGCTTGAAGAAGGGACGCGATGACGAACAATCGACAGCGGCCAGACTGAGCACTCTCTTATGCGTTCAGCTGGGTGCATTCGAGAGCGCTGAGATAATCTGCAGGGATTTGAAGTCGACTTTCACCTTTATCGCCAACGACAATACAGCTCCTGTCCACGCTCGCGCCGAGGTACGCACGATATTTCTACGGTCACCGATATTTATTGCGTCTTATCATTAATATTCTGCATCGATAAGTTGGACAAATAGTTTCTACGTTAACGAAATGATTTCAGTGTTGCTGGGCCTTGAGTATGAATCAGTTCTTGTCGGGCAACGATGCCACTGACACCATGGAAATCGTACAGCTGCTGTCGTCCATCTTCTCCGGCTCGTACCTCAAAGGGAATGGCGCGATCGCGAACATATCAACAGACGTGGCGGCACTACACGCGGCGGCAATCTCATCCTGGACTCTGCTTCTGACAGTCATGACTTCTGCGGACATCTACAATCTACTGGCGAGCGACAGAACAAACAGCTACATGCCGTAAGTCGTCGATTCTCGTCACGTGAGGAACGTACGAACGGCGATAGCAAAACGCGCGAATCTCAATTTTTTTAGCTCTCTCAATCGATTGCGCGAACTATTGGAATCACCGCATCTCGACGTACGCCTGTCAGCTGGCGAGGCCCTGGCTGTGATATTCGAACTCGGTCGCGATTTCTCCTGCGACTACGAGCAGGACTGGGCGTTGGACCTCGTCGAAATTCTCAAGGAACTCGCGACGGATTCCAACAAGTATCGAGCTAAGAAAGACCGCAAGCAGCAGCGCGCCAATTTCCGAGACATTCTGCGTTATATCGAGGTAAGTTGAATCGCACGCTGTTGACCGAAAATTGTCTGAAGAAGCGAGTCGTAAAAAAACATCACTCTAATGCCAAGACAACGAGACTAATTTACACACGCCTTACTTTTCCGCTCTCAGGAAGACGTTGTTCCGGAGATGCACGTCAAATTCGGAGGTTCTGGTCAAGAAGTTCTGTATTTAGAGGGATGGTGCGCGAGGACTCAATACAATGCCTGCTGTCGGCTCTTAGGCCCCGGAATCAATATCCATCTTGCTGAAAATCAACTGCTGCGCGAGATCTTCCATCTCGGCAACAAGGTTCTGCCCGCACCGCACCATATTCAGAAAACGAGTAAATTGGAAAGAGTAAGTAATTGCGATTCGCGAATAAATCTCCTTTATGTCAGCCTATTTCAGCGACACGACTAAGAGAACGATTCCTCGATTTGCAGACATTGATGAATGCGGCCGCGTTTAAAGCACGCACCATTCAGCGCAACAAGAACCGCGACAAGCGCTCCGCAGCCATGGCACCGTAATTATACTTCTGCTCTCCTATACTGGCTGTCTGATTTTAGTGTAATGCAAGTATACTTAAATTTCCTGTTAATTTATTGCAACTATATTTAATAGCGCAAATTACTGTTCTCTTGGCATCAAGTCAAAATTTTTACCGATACTCCACGTGTGCGTTTCGCTCTTTACAAAAATCTCTGTCAATATGAATACATGAGATTGATCTTGACGCTATATTTATTTAATAATAAATATTTAATGAAGTCCACGTGTATATACAAGTCTAAATATATATGTATATATACAAACAGTAACGCTGACGCAATAACAATGATCGCGTTTTATGTAGCTAAATGATTTCGGCATGTACAATTGATTTTATCAATTCTAATATTAATCAATGTGATATTGTTTGAACTGTTATTATCGTCGCTGTTGTTTCTTGGGTGTATATTGTATGTTAACTGGTACATCAAGGTGTTATACAGTGTTTTAATTGCTATGGACGGAATTGTTTTGAAACTAGTTTTGATTGTAAGATGCAAACACCTGCAATCGCTATCTTCGGAATTATTTCGCATGTTAACAATAATGGATATATAATTGGGGTGACGATATACTTACCAGCATTGTACATAAACAGGTGTAAATTGTAATAACGCGTTCCAATAAACAGATTGTAAGGATGAACACGAATTATGTTATATTTTCTTATTATGTTTTATTATTGTTACACTTATCATACAACTTTCTGTACAGAACAGTCCAAAATATATTAGCACATCCTGCTATCTTCCGCGATTAGAAACGTTGATCACAGTCATTTTATACATAGAACATAGAACAACAATCACGGTATTGTACAACAAGTAACAACTTTAATTAAGTACATTTCGATCTATCTCGATTATAAATTTTACAATCACAATAACAACAACGTTACATAAAAATAACATCGTATATAATTACACGAATTATAAGACATTAAACGTACGGTCAACAATCTACAGTCTCATTTCATAAAAGACTTGGGGCCATTTTTTCCAATGTCGGTTAATGTTAACCGACGGTTTCAATTTGTTAACAGAATTGCTAATACGAAGAATAAAATATCGTCATTAAAGGTAACAAAAATTTGAAATCTTTCTTTTCTAATGACGATATTTCATTCGTATTGGCAATTTTGTCGACAAGTTGAAACCTTCGGTTAAAGTTAACCGACGTTGGAAAGTGGCCATTAATAATATAAATATAATAAATTAATGTGATTATATAAAAAGATTTTAGGATTCGAAACTCGTAAGCGAGCTTCTTTTTTTATTTGCACATATAAATCGTCACGCACAAGGACGATTTATATATGCAAATTGATTATCTGCGCTTTAAACTCTTTCTCAGACAGCATGTGCCACCGATAACCCAATATTCTTGACACTTCTCTTTCTGTGTCCTCGTAACTGCGGCTATTTGCTTTGATCCATCGATGGTATTCAAGCGACCAATCTAGGATTTTCGACCAAGCTTTGTCGCATCTCTTCAAGATTACGTTTCGCCGAACGTACAAGCAACGCAAGTGTTTCGCGGTGGACACGATCTCTAGAATCGTGGCCGTCGATATTTTATCTCGGATCATCTGCAGAAGAAGTGTTACTTGTCACTGTAAATCGTCGTAAATCGATAAAAACATACAAATAACAAAATGGCAGCGCATTAAATCTTTTTAGTAATAATTAGTCGTTCTTATATTAAATATTCAGAAAAAAAAACATTCATACATTTCTTGCACAAAAAAATATAAAGACTGAGAAACTTGAGGAACATTTAAGAGTAGCTCGAATATCTAGCATGGAAGAGACAAGCTTAGAATTTAGTTATTCTAGAAATCGGAGGAACACTCACAGAGTAGGAAAACAGACTCATAATGTGTAAAGGTACAAATGCATGCACATTATAAGTCACGTTGTTAACACCAATGGTTTAAGAAAACATGTCAATTCAAATACAAAATGCTACCAGTGTATGCAGGTTCGGGCACATTCGGCACAATTGCACTAGCGGCTCATCCATTCTCATAGCAAATTCTCTGTGCAAATAGTATCTCGTTACTCCTTTGAGAGCATACACTCGTATCGTCGACTCGAAGAATCCTCCGCCGAGTATCATAGCCGGCACAGTCTGGAATAAACAATTTTTTGTCGTCAGTATGAAGAATTTCAATACCTTTTATATACTTCTCTCTGATTTGTGTATTATCTTACCAGTGTATTCGGATTATCCAGTACTATACTGTGACATGGTACGATATTGTGTTCAAATGAGTGGATAGGCAAAAGAATATCCGTGGGTTTACGACTTTCTACTTCAAAGTGTACCTTTAAGTGAGGATTATTGCTTTTCAACTTTACCCAAGATGATCTCTTTGGCTGAAATAAAACCCCTTGAATGAGTATTTTGTATCTATTAATATGCGATTAATACATATATATTAAAATGGAGATTATAATTACCAATCTAATGGTGGTGTCCTTTGGACTATATCGATTTTGTAAGATATGAAGATGCCTCAATTTCGTGTAGCCTATTAATTCTATTATATCTTCGTGCAAATTTTGCGGACTAATTACCAAGACCTAAAAAAGTATTTTCAATGTACGCATCGTGCGATAGTCACAAATATAAAACATTGAAAGTGCGACATATTTGAAGCGCTCACGTTTAAATTAACAAACACTCCGACGTGCAATAACGGGCAATTGTACCGTGTGGTATTTATTAGTATCAATTTCGACAAGGTTTGAGTGCAATTTGTACAAATATCGTCCATCAAATGTAAGGCCTCGTTGCTGTCGAGCATCAGATCTATCAATTCCAGACATCTAAGATTCTGCAAGTTTCTCATGAGCCTCTTGAGTGCCTCGAGCAGCTTGCCACCTGTGCCAAAGACTCTGATCCGATCTGGATCATCTCTATTCGCCATGTTACAGGGAAAAGTAAACTTCAGCCTGCGAATGTAAGTGCCCACACCAGCTACAGAGGTATTGTCCGAGCCTTGATGCTCAGCATACCAAGATATCATGTTCATGAACTCATAGAGATTGTAAAAGTTCAACATAGGCTCGAATATGAGGGAGCGAAAGTTGCGGCCGACCTTGTTCAAGCAGGTGGATGTTCTCATATGATCCAGAACATACTGCCAGCCACTGTAGTAGTTGAACTTGCCCCGCGTGAGGGTGGTGTCCTCCAGGGTGAAGGTGGACCACACATTCTGCAGTTTGAAGGCGCGATACCAGGATCGACACACCAGAGACGCATAGTAACGCTCACGGATTGTCAGGTACGAGAATATCTCCTCCAGCAAGATATCCGGCGTCTGGTCCCAAGAGCTGTACTCCTTGCACAGCTTATCCTCCTCCGTGTCCTCCTCCAGGTCTATATACAAGGCTTGGCAGATAACAGCAGCTTTTTTATTCCTCGTACTAACTTACACATCATAACAATGCAAACGCGTTTTCTCTCCTTCGCATCGACGCCCTATTTTTATGTTTACCTTGAATGTAAATTATTTTTAGACAATATTAATGTCAATTCCGATTATAGATTAATCTTGGGACTCTGATATCGATTTCTCCAAGGAGAGGCTATTTTACACGCCGGCACTTGCCACGTGATGACGTTACACGTCGAGCATTACATCGAGAATAAAAATTACACGCACACGCAAATATACGAGAGGACGTCACATGTTCATCGTGACAACTTGATCTGTTTAATTGAGACACAAAATTGTTGTGCGATTGAAATTTTATATCTAAAACGTAAATTCGCGTGAAGATGGAAAAGTGTCGGCTTTTCCGGATTGCGAAATTGCATGACAAAATAGCGCGAATTTCTTAAGAGAAAAAAAGGAGAAAGAGAGAGAAAGAAAACATCGCGTCTCACCTTTGTCTTCCTCGTCGAATTTCCAGCAGCCCTTGTTCATTTTCGCCGCGATCGGTGCTCATCGGTGTTACATTAAAACAGCGTATCTACGCGATGGAGTATTTATACACGATATTGCTAAAAATATACCGAAAAAACGGGCAGGGGTGCCCACCGCGACTGACCGTATCATCGCCATGATGCGGTTTTAGATCGTCGCACCTGAATGAGAATTGCTCCATTTCTCGTTCACGCGTTGTTTTTCTTACAAAGTGTAAAAGTTTGATCAAAGTGTGACGATGATTTTGCTTCACCGAGTCATTTAAAAAGCAGCGGAAACACATTCAGTGTAAAAAGCAATTCCAAAAGTGAATTTTCTCGCGCGCCGCAAGTTGATCAGAGAAAAAGAAAGAAAAAGATGCAAAGAAAGAGAGAGAGAGAAAGCTCACAGCATGCGTCAGAGGAACGTGCATAACGCTGTCACATTGTACCACGTATAACCTCAATTTATTTGCTGCTGCAAATTGTCCTTTGCTTCTTCATAAATTTGTTTAGTTAATAAGATGAATGTGACTGGCAAATTGTGTCAATTGAGACAAGCATTGCAAAATTGCAGGTACACGATGTTCGAACTGGTAAAAACTGATTACCAGTAACCGGTGCTGTGCTGATAATCGATCATTAAAATAAATAAACAAAAGATTGATAATTATCATGCGACATTTAACTTTATATTAATTTTAGTTAAAGAAGAAACATTTTAGTTTTACAGTTCACACAATAATTGGTGATAAATTGCATTGAGGTTTATTAGCTTGACAGTAAAATTAATGTTTTATATTTCAAATTATAAAAAAGCAACCAATTAAGAATATTCTTTTATAATTTTTTTATTACTATACTAGTTTTCCTTTACATCATCTTGTGTAAAAATCACAAATATATTTTATGATCCTTACAGGAATTTATGCACTACACACATAGCTAAAAATGCATACGAAGCTCCTGGTAAAACCACTGTTACATTTATCAGTAAAGAAATTGGTCAGCGACTGTTAGTGAGTAACTGTGATCAGGTAAGATTAATTTGCCTTAATTTGCCATAATTAATTGATTGAAAAAAGAATTGTTTTTTGTTTACTTTCAGTATCAACATTGTATGTCCAAAACAAGATGTCAATTTATATTTTAGATTACGACTGAATTATTAATTTTTATTGTTTTTTTTAGCTTGGATTCACATTGAATACTGGAAACAAAGTAATAGGTCCAACAGTACTCTTTCCAAGATATGCAATCTGTTGGAACATTGCCTCTGGTAAACACATAAATGATGCGTCATTGTCACTATTCACCATTCTCCGACCAAAACCGGATCTCTTGATCATCGGACTGGATGATAAATACGATTTTGCCCATTTAAAGTATCTCCGAGAACTCGTACAGAAGCTCGATATTATGACTGAAATAGTTTCTGTGCATACTGCATGCACGATATTTAACTTTGTCAATGAAGAGGGTAGATATGTTGTTGCAGCTTTGATACCACAGAAAGGACCTACAGTCCGAATAAAACTACCAAAAAGTGAACCTCAGAAACAAGTGACATCTGACACTGCAAATAGCAAAGCAGACAATGCAAAAAATACAAAATGATAGAATGTACATAGGATATAAATTTGACAATTTTAGGAAAAGAAATTATGATAATATTATCTTGTATAATATTGTATAAAATAATAACTTGATTTCTGTACCATGTACATGATGACTGTAATAAAATATTAGATTCGTTAATTTTAATTATATTTTTTTAAATGTTTTACGTTGTAAAATTATAATATTTGGGGGTCTGCACGCATGCGCAAATCACGTATATACATGTGAGCTCTGCTTTGGTTAGCTTCGAACGTTAGAAAAGAGCAGACATACTATTTCTGTCTCTTTTCTTACGCTCCATTTTATCCGGAATTTATGAAATTGTAACAGGAATACATGATGATATAGGAAGTTATTCGAAACAGAGCCATCTTTTGGTTAGCTAAAACAACATAACTGTACATGATGGTAAGTGTACCGACTAATGCAGTCGATACATTTACCATCAATAATTTTTTGTCATGTTGCAACAGCTGACCAAAAGATGACACTACTTCTATGTGTAAGCTCCTATATCATCATGTGCTCCTGTTAACGATTTATTAAAATCCCAGCTAAAATAGCGGTTTAGACCGTTTCAACGAGTAAGTAATCTTAATTTTTCTACATGTTGCTGGGCTACTTTTGACAGTGTTAAAATGCTCGTAAAATACTTAAATAATTAAAATGTCTTTTTTAAAATTTCTGAAAAGTTTGTTGTAAAATTTAAAATGCCAATTGTTAAAGAAATTAAAAAACGACGTCTTTTTTAGGACGTTCTTGGAATGTCTTTTTTAAGATGTTTCTAGGACATCCTAAAATGGTTTTTTTAAAGACATTTTTAGGACGTCCTTAAAGATGTCTTATTTAGGACTTTGAAACAGAAATAGTACGTGCTGCTCTTTTCTAATGTCTGAAGCACGGAACTCATATGTAATTCCTGTTTGCGCGGTATTCCCTCCCTCATGCTGCTTGCTGCTTGCGTCTCAAATCTGGCCACACGGAACCTCCGTGTTTTGTAGCGTCGAGTGAAACGCCGGAACGCGAAACAAGATACACCGTCCCTTTCAGTCCCTTTTGACTTGACATTGGCTAGCATCTGACATTTAGCAGTATTCCGCAGGCACAGTGTTTCGTGCCTAGACAGCGTAAAATCGGTAAATCTCGCATTTTACAAGAGAGAATTTTGGAGAGTTTATATTGTCTGAACAGACAGTAGTTCTTCTGTAAAGTGTAATGTCATTTCGAGGAGGTTATATCAGGTTATATACAATTCGTCAAGTCAGCTGATCAATTTGTGCCAGTTTGCTGCAGTGTACATGAGAAATCAGTTATTTAAATAAAATTTGTACTCTTAACATCTTATAATTCATGTGAGTATACTATCTTGAAAATATATGTTTATTAATAATCTATATTTATTAATTAATATTGCACATTATTGACTAAATTGGAACGATAATCTCTTATAATTGAATAAAGTCATATTGCTTTGTGATAAAGGCTGATTAATAAAAGAAATATTCATGATATTTTATAATTCTGTAAAATTTTTACAAGTTTTTATAGAGAGGGAAGGGTAAAGGAAAAGTAGAAATAGTCTTGTAAAATAATATATGTTACTTTATCATATTTTCAAATCAGAAAATAATGTTATATTATTAACATCAATATTTTGTTAATTATAGCAGACTTCCAAAATGAACAGCTCAACTGATCCAAGACGTCCTGACAAGGAAATTCGCTATAAGCCACCAGGTTCGAACAATCAAGCACAAGTGCAAGATGACCTCACACCAGACTACATGAATGTCATAGGGATGATCTTTAGCATGTGCGGATTGATGATGAGACTGAAGTGGTGCGCCTGGGTGGCACTTTACTGTTCCTGTATCAGCTTTGCCAATTCACGAGTCAGCGAAGACACGAAGCAGATCCTCAGCTGCTTCATGCTGTCGATATCAGCGGTGGTGATGTCCTATTTACAGAATCCACAGCCCATGACACCGCCGTGGGCAAGTGCCATGCAGTGATTTTTTCATAAACATAATTGTAAATTTGTTACATGATTTACTTTGTAACATTTTTTACTTATATGTGGATGTAATTATCTTTGAACATTTGAAGAGTAATACTTCTATCAGAATAAACGATTATTGATTATATTGTACAGAGAAATGTCTTATAACAAATAATGTAATAAATCTATTACAATAATTATTACTCATGCAAAATTAATTTTATGTTACATTGATAATTTTACAATTGTTAAAAAAAATATGCAAATAACCAGACTGCATATACAGTATATACAGACGTAATATATTCCGTATTTATTTCTTATAAATATATTTATTACATTAAAATCAACTCTGTCTTGCGAGTTTCTTCTAAGAACATTCTATATAAATATTACAAGGAGTCAATAAATATTACCTTTTCTAAGCGTACATTATACTGACTAGAATTAAATGCCACCTGGTGCTATTCTTTTTTTTTTACATACGTACAGCGGCGTCGAAACTCCGATCTTAGAGTATATCCTTAAGAGAAGTTGCATATTCGACGATCGCGATTTCTTTCGGCTGTACAATCGCGATAACGTTTCGCGAAATATTTCTTCATTTATATTACATATTATCATTAAAGTAACTCGATCACGCAAAGGGTAATAGAAAAGTAACGACAGTTAATTAGCGGTGTAGTCGATTTATGTATGTTAAAGCGTATTAATACGCGTTGTTTTAACGGCGTTAATTTAACAAATTAAGTATAGTACAAACTATATAAAAAGATCAAATAAAATATATGCAAGATTCGATTTGTGCTTCAATGAATCCACATTTAGAAGTGTATAAAAATCAATGGTTTTCTACTGTATATTCTTAATAAACAATATCGATGCAGAATAGGCCACTACTGCCATGTGCAGTACACTCTTTAATTTTGACTAGAAGATTCATAGTTATAGAAACGCGTCTTCTTTTCTCTGATACTCGAATCGTAATAAGTTTTACAATATGGAATTAAATCCCAAGAGGAATGATTCCATATTGCATGATTATATCTTCTTTTATTATTATCAATTACTAAAATAATTGCTAAATTGAGTGATCACTAATCAATGTCATGTTTAAGATCCTTGAATACTCGTTCTTCATTGATAATTATGAACAAGTTACCGTTTTTCACGCTTATTAAAGTACAATTATGAAAGCGTAATACCCGATGTTTGACCAAGACATTCGTACATGTAGAAAGATGATGCAAAAAAAGTCTAAACACACAAAAGATGTGAATACAATTTAAAGGAATTATAACATTTCACAAATTTTCTTTTCGTTCGGGCAACTAGCCACCTGAGATGTTCATAGGTTTAGGAAGAAGAAGAGGAAGTGGAAAGAAAACGAACAGGATTTGGCACACATGTATCCGAACGTCGATTTCTAATTATTCGAATCTCGGCGTAGTTTAGCTTTATATTTTCTAACAAGTTTATTATTTCTCTTCTTAAATCGTTCTGTGTTCGTGCGAGGTAAAAAACTACGCGAGACTCGATCACTAAATGTGGTTTGTGGTCCTCGATTAGGTTTATTTCAATTCGCTTAGCTAAAGTCTTTTCACAATAAAATGTTCCTTCTCATTGAAGCCGCATTGTTGTATCACATGGAGCGACTTCCTCGCTTTATCTCCTCGTGTCCGATTGGCTTCTTTGCCGAATCAAGGATGCCTTCGCGATACTTTTTTTCCTATTTTTATCTACAATTTATGACTAGACGCTGCTCTCTCCTCGTCCCACCAGCGTGATGGGATACACATACTTCTTCCGCTTGGCATTGAAAAATGGCGAGCTATGCTGGACGGGTGTCGGCGTGGGCGACAAGCCTCGGAGTAGCGGTAACGAGGCGTCGCCGCTTACGCCCGTGGTGTCCAGTCGTTTCTTCCACTCGGCACCCAGATCCGTAGCCGGCGCCATGAGCCCTTTGCATTCCGGTGAACTGCGCACACTGAGAAAGACGTCGTTGCTGCTGTCGCGCTGGCAGGAAGAACCCTAAAAATATAAAGATGTTAGAGTCGAGTCTCGCGTAATTTTTTATACCTCATGAACGGATAACGACTTAAGAAGAGAAATTAGTACATTATGCGATAAAATCCGTTCAACTATCATAATTTAAACGCACGACGTTAAAATGAAAACAAAATACGAGATTCATCGCTTCGCAAGAAATGCAAACATTTATTCGTAATTCATTTTTGAGCAAATTGATTTCTTCGTGTACCTTCGCTTCGTAGAAGTCCAGACTGGAACCGTTCGTGTCGTTTTCCTCCTCGTTGAACTCCACCTGGACGTGATGCGAGGTGTGGGAGACTCTCGAGGAGTGCGACGACGTTTGAGTGGACGAGTTCTCCGACAGGTCATCTCTGCAGCACGCCGCCGTGCACGTCCGTTGTTCTCTGCGGCCGTGCAAAAATATAATTCCTTATTCCATTTCTCTTTAGCGTTGTTATTAGAGGTTATTTTAGATGTTATTAGATAACTGGTCTTTCTCAGCGCAGCAATCAAGGGAATATTCACCTTCTGACGATGACGGAGTCCCGTCGTCGCGGCACTGGCGGCGGAAGACCGGCAGCGGTCAGACTCCGTGCGCTCTCGTAGCTCGCCTCACTGTTGCCGCTGCTGCTGCCGTTGTTACTGCCCTCCGTGTGCTCCCCTGTCGTCCTCCTAAAGTAATTCTTCGCCGAGAGCATCGCGTAGTGCAGATTGTTCTTCAGGTCGTCCGCCGCCGTCGACAAGTTTCCCGGGATTTTGGGCGTGCGTCGCATCGGCCTGGGCGCCGGCACCACCGGCGACGGAGGACTGCTCGTCGACGCCTCCGACAGCGTCTCCGGCGTCGCCAACGGCGCCATCCGCGTCGGGTCGTCCCAGCGATTTGATCTACTTGTCGATAGGAAGAGAAGAGTGAATCTCATGGCAAGAAGAATCCTTGGTCCAATGAAATTTCGTTAATGCAGATCGTTCAGAATTCTTTTTAACACGTTTCCGCAATAATGATTTGAAAGCTCTAAAAGTAAAATGTATAAGGATTTAATCAAACTTAATGTTAATTAAATTCAACTTAAAATCAGAAAATGTTAGTTTTTTTTTTCAAATATTATTTAACATGATTTTACTAAATTTTACTCAATGTAATTTCATTTAATTGTGATTAAATTCTACCTCTCTCTTCATTATTTTATCTAATTTTAGAACTAAAAAATCTGGTTATCTATTTTATAATTATTTTAAAAAAAAAAGTGGGACACTGCACACACGAAGTTTCATTAAAATTCTCATTCTCGGCTTTCTGTTATTCCATTCGTCACGACTGTCTATGAAAAGCCAGTCTAAAGCGCGATTATAACAGACTTTCCACAAAGACAGCCGGACAACACAAACGTTCAAAAGATGTCCTGAGGATTTGTGAGACGCTCCTTTGAACTTTGCACGGTTCGGGGACACTTCCTGCGCGACGTCGCGACTTATAATAATTGCACGCCGTAGCTATTTGTGATAATTATAGTGCGACAACGATTTTGAAATGCATGATTTATGATTCGGTGAGAATTTGGAGAGCCAAGCGAGTGAAGCGAGAGTGAACGAGAGCGTGAAATGAATTGCTTCGCGTGTAAATCTGAGTGAAAAGCAGGTGCGACGGTAACTTCCTTCCATTCTTTCTCACTCCTAAAGGCATTATTCTGTCCAATGATTGCCGATTGAACGCCTTCACTACTCAATTAACTTCTTCTTAGCTTCATTTTACTTTTCACGAAAATCTGCCTCGCGTTTAATCGAGATATATCGGCGAATACTAATTCTCATGTCCGCAATCGTGCTCCTCGAATAATCGGCTACAAGGACACGCAGCGCCGATCATTAATAAAGTTCCTCGTCATTACTTCGCTGCTATCGGTCTTCCCTTCTTCAATTCGCTGGCCCCGACGTTAATCCTTCGCGTTCCAGGACGGGCGATACGAAAAGTATCGGAAATCTTTTTCACTCGAAACAGAAATTTCATCGGAAATTACATTACATTTCTTATCCCACAATACCAGAATTTAATTTCACCGAAATACACGGATATCGACCTTATATCGATCTTCAACTTATTCAGCGGGAACCGCGAAGGATTCTAAAGGTTCATCGTCCTTACGGTTTGCCGTCCTCCAGTCTGGGCGTGTTGAGCAGCTCGCTGGCGAGGCTGACGTACTCCCAGGGAATGCCGTGGGAGTCGACGCTGAGCTCGCGGCCGGCTTGGGGTTCCGAGGGGCTCTGCAGCGACGTGAAGCTCGTCTCCAGGCAGAGTCGGTGCGGCGGCGTGCCGGCCAAGTGGTTGCTCAGACACCGGGTCGGGGTCGACGGTGATAGCAGCGCCCGCATCTCCTGCTCCTGCACCTCCAGCTCCTGGATTTCGTGGTGCTCGTGCGCCGCCTCGAACGACGCCGTCTCCGTCGACGACGCCAATCGCTGCGGCTTCGCCGGCCCCAGGGTTGTCACAACCTGACACACGCGAGCCACCACGCGGCCGCGGGTGTATAGTCGTGCCTCCGTTCATCGCAGGGTGTCGCGAAACTACAGATACAAATCCCGTTCTCGGAAGGCGATTCTTCCTCGAGAAATATCTCGTCAGGCGCGTTTAATCTTCCGCGTTGACCGTTATTCTATTTAAGTGAAAAGTTGCCTGGAGAGCGAACAAAGATCCTTTGTATACTTGCTAATTTAATTTTTTGTATCGAACATTTTTATATTTAAATGTCACTTTGTAACAGACTTCTATTTCAATGAACTTCAAAAATTAAATAAATAATAAAGATTCATTATCTAAAGTGTGAAAATTGATTCGCAAAAAAAATTTTTCATCGTTTATAACTCAAGAAGGAAGCTTCTTAGTAATAATATTTATACAACTTTTTTTTCTCGCAAATTCCCTTAAAGCAATCTTAGAGTTTGTACCTGTAATTTGTTGGCACCCTGCACAGATCCTCGTTGATTCTGAGCTTTCGTATATCTCGCGATATTTCACCCAACATTCTTCCCAATTTGATCTCTTAACAATAAAATAATCGATCTTCTTTATCGTTTAATGAGGAAATTTTTTTTTTTCATCTAGAGCTAAATCTTTCACACAAAAATTGTGAATTTTCCCGAAGCTTTTAAAAGCGATCTGCTGCGAGGTTTCCTGTTATGGATTCATTTCAGAAAGAGCCGATATCCGAACCGCAAATCAAACGTGAACGGCCAGTTTGCGTAATAGAATCGGGAGTAATCGAGAAATATTTAACGTGGCTAATGAAAACACGGATCTGCTGATGAGATCACAAACGCAAGCGGGTTATTTATACCCTGCCTCACCAAGTGTAAATTCACTTAATCGCGCGCTCGACATTCCTCCTTTTTTCTTCGCAAACGAACGCAAAGTCACTTAATCCCGCCCGGCAATTCCGCGCTTTTACGCTTCGCTTTCGGAAAGCGTTACCCTAATTCTCCTGCCGTGACGATGGAATTAATCTTCTACGTCATGTCCGACGAAGTCGTTTGCAGAAAAGAGCCTTCGCGAGCCTTTCCTCCGTCAACCAATATTCAAAGTCACTATTCAACAAAGTCGCTTTTCATCTCAAGCATTAATTTCAAATTCAGAAAGATGATTTCTGTGCGAACGCGTGCGTGGATTTTTTTAGATTCTCAATTTTCTGAATCTGTAATAATACATTTTTCGTCGAAGCACAATGCATCGACTGTAAGCTCCTTATAAAATCTTTCGTGCTCGAAAAGAGAACTTTTAAATTAAACTTCTACTTACATTTTTCTCTGTTCGTATATTTTATATTACTATATCATGTGTTTCTTCAATACTATTAACTCACTACTGTGTCTTTTTATTTCTACGTTTGACATATTTTTAATTGTAAATTTTTATTCAATTTAATGAAAAAATTCTCATTGAAAAATAGAGGCAAGTAGACCAAAATTATTGTTTGCAATTCTTGCTTTTCAACAATATATGTTATAATTCGTGATAATCGTGAAATGAATTATGGTTGTGTGATGAAACTACTTTTCCTACACTATTTAGTCTTAAGAATATAATGATTATGTAATTCAACTATTCATTTTCCTACAACGATCGCTCTTGCACAAAAGTCTACTCGCTACTGTTGTCAATCATGAGAAATCAACACTTGCTCGATTATAATAACTGCCAGCATGCAGACCAGACGATACTCTCTCCAAAATCCACTCTAGAGCTCAACCAGGGCAATCGACTCTAGACAATGAGGACGGTATGATCAATCAGTGCGTGATGCGCATGCATTACGTGTATGTTATGTGTGCATGATGCCGTTTGATCTATATTGGCGATCAACGTTGCGCCAGGAAGTGCTTACCCCTTTGTAATGTGATCTAATCGAATCCGTTTGTGTAATAATAATCGAATTCGTCCCAAAATCCGACCTATGACTCGATTGGCGTTTTACGGGTATCCGGAAATTTTTGGTGAACGCTGACTCTAAAGCAAACTGTGATCAGCGCGACATTCATCGAATATCCAGCTTTGATTCCAATATCCGCGGAATATCACGGTTCGATTCTAACATCTGCAAATATCCCGATTTCATCGAGCAACATTCGTAAGATGTCACGCTTTGATTCCAATATTTTCTTCAAAAGATACTTACAAGATAATGATTTGTTACAATGTGAAATAACAATAATAAAAATTTATGCTGAAGAACAACGCCATATTTTTGTCTAGAAATTTATATAATTTAAACATTTTAATAAATTTATATAAATTTAAACATTTATAGATATTCATAGAGAAATTCGTTTGTAAAATCTGCAAAATCGTTTTATCGCGCAAAATCCTAGTCCGTTGTACGCGAGAAATCTACAAACAGAATATGCGTTGTTATCAAAATAATGCGAGAAAGATGAAAAGAGAGACGAAGTGTTAACACAATTTTCGCGAGACGTGTTCATCCTCGTTTATACATGGATCAAGCCCGGACATCCGAAAATTCTCGAGGATATAAGTCCGCTGGATATCTCCGGGATTATCCGCTGTACATTTCGCCGTGCTGAGTACTCTAGTCTCCGGGATCAAGTTTCCGTTTCTCAAAGTACCTTGTGTCGTGGCGCGAGAAGGGCGCGGTGGCGTAGCGAGTGTCCGGTGTACCCTGATGGTGGAGCACCACGACGTGCGGCTGGTGATCGAGGACGGGCCCCACGAGCTCGGTCGCCGCCGCCGCATCTACCACCGCGATCCCTGCTGCAGCATCGACCCCCGCGGTTGCCGTCGCCGCCGCCCCCGCTTCCGCGCAGCCCCGATCTCTGCACGCCACCACCTAATCCACACACCGCAGCCACCCTCAGCCACCCGTGATCTCATCTCGCTCGCATTCGTTTGCATGATCGAGCCTTTCGCGACAGGTACTTCCGAATTATCGGAAAAATTCTCGAAATACGAAATACTTATTCAACCTTTTCCATGAATTTCTCCGAAATTTCGAGATAAAAACGATTAAACGCCAAATTGATTAACTAACAGGCGCTTATCACGTTTGCCCGATCGCGTCGGTCTAATCAACAAATTTTGTAATTGCACTCCATCCGGAAAAGCCATCCGCTCGTTCATCGAGCCGATGAGCGATTAGGAGAGCCTGATTAGGATCAAGTTAAACACTAAGTTCATTCTCGTTGCAGATGCGCGATAATGACGTGCATGCAAAACCGCGAGCTTGCAAACACACCAACGTTGTTGCAACGTTCGCGCAATTTAATCGTCGTTTGTAAGAACATGTTATCCAGCTTCTCGATCCTATTTCACACTAAATTGCGAGCCGTTTGATTGCAAATTTTTATTCGACATTGAATTAAATAACTTTTAACGATTCTCCTAATAACTTGGATGATTTTTCAAGAACGCCGGAAGAGAAAGACGCGTATACAAGTCTCACCACCTTTTTGCACCATTGATACTTTCGACAATCCTGTGCACACAAGATTGCGTGCTTTGTCGATGCAACACAGAGATCTGATTTTCCTGTCGTGCCGGAATTTCAATTTGAACCCAGTTAGAACAAGCGAGTGCCTCAATTCCGAATCACGCCAGGTCTAAAATTGCAACTACCATACTCATTCCGTTTGTAGCTTATTTAACAGATAGAAATGTTCTTACGAAATGCTCCGACACATTTCACAGTGAAATACAAGGTAGTCGGCTCTTTGTACGTATTTACCGCTGAAACGTACGACGAGATTAGGATTTAGTGTTGAAAGCGGATTATACAACAGATTATAGCGGAGAAGTATACGACAAAAAATATTAGCTACACACTGGTGAAAACAAGTAAGACAGAAAATGGCGAAAACAAATGTAATAATAATTGCGACGCAACTTAAACAGACATAAATAAATAAATCCAGGTAGCGTTGTGCAGCGCGAATGTAGTCAACAATAATTGCTCGATATTGCGCGATACGTGTGAAACGCTTGAAACTGCGTCGAAGTGAAAAATATCCATCATGATAATTACAATGGAACGCCGCGTTTTGTTCAGTTTTACATGTCCCAGATTTCATTTCACATTTTATTGTTAATTTGATTTTCCAAGCTTTTCGACACGCGCCGAGAATTAGGAAGCTATTAGGAAGCCTCGATGTAAATGAACAACGTCGTTTCTGTGGTGGAAAGTATTATATTGATCAAAGTAGCATACATCGCAAATTATACAGAATAACGAAGTTGTTATGGAGTCTCGTGTGCATTCACAAAACGACCAGCGCAAGACTTCCGGTCCACTTCCGTCTGGATTTATCGCAATGAGCGTCGTAGAAAAATATAATCGACTCGCATTCTCGATGCGTATTCAGCGCTAAATATGATCGTCCGAGTTTTGCTTTGCCATATTAAATCTCGCAATATATATCGCAAACCATATATAATAAATCCAAAAGTCGGAAAGCCGATTTTAGCATTAAATGCACGCCGAGAATGCGGATCTTTGTTTTTGCAGAGTAGCTTCGTACCGAGCCATCCACTTCACTATTTAATCTATGATACGATCTATATCAAGTTAATGAAATAAAAATATGTATCTTTATTTTTGTGCTTTAGACTTTAGTCGTTTTGTGTGCAATGAGTAGAAGAGAAAAAGAGAAAGAGAGGAGAAGAATGCAGATCGATCTCGTACGAAACGTAGAAGAAGAAAATACGCATTTTCGTTCAACGAACCGATAGTGGCCAACTCTTGTTTAACGTTTATCGAATTAAATTGATTGCCAAAAATATGTCAAAGTATGTCAAATATGCCGCAGAAGAGAGAAATGATTAGAGATTCTTACTATAGTTTTTATTCTAATTAATTAATTGTACGTAGCAGTTTTATGTTAATTTGTTTATTATTTGTGTACTATAATACTTGCTTAAAATAGATACGATTGAAATACTCTCTCTGGCTGTTATTTGCAGCCATCTGAAAACTAGGTAGATTGAATTTTGTTATAGACAGAAACAATTTTTCCGAATTCACTCGCAAACAAATCTACGCTCATGCTGCAATGACCAATTGGACTGTGATTGTCATTGTCTGTACCAGCTAGACCGATTTCAATCTAAAATTAGTATTTTACGTAACGATAGGGCAAACGAACGTATAATGACGTTCGCGTGCAAACAATGGCGAATTCGCGTGCCGCCGGTTGGCCACTATTCGGCTCGGAACGGATAGTTCATGCAATATATGGGCATGCACGTCAGTCCTGTTACTCTACTTAGGCGGCAATGCCAGGAGTAGCGAGTACAAGAATACTCAGCGGACGCGCGTTGTGCGAGGTAGCGATGTCGTAGCGATAAGTATCTTCGAATCGAAAGCGAACGCGAATCATCGAGTTCCAGTTGCAGTAATCGCGACAGCAAACTCAAAATCAAGACTCGAGAGTTGGAGAACATCTTTTTGGAGGAATCGAGATCGTCTTGCATTTGTTTTTCGACTTCATAATCCTGGATATCTGATATACGGATGTAGAAGATACGATCGAATCTTGAACAATGGCAATTGTCGTTCGTGGGAAAAAAAATCAAGACATGGCCACTTCGCGATTATTGAACCAACTCCGTAATTAACGTTCGTTCCTTAACTGAACTTTTCACATACCGTCAATCCTACGTCTAACGAATCGGATTCGCAATAACTATATGTACAGTGACGAGCAATGAAAGTTAATCACCACCTCTCTCACTTTCCAAGCCGTCTTCTCTTCTACCCATTTCTCTAAGGGCTTCTCCTATTCTCAGAAACGTATTTACACAAGCGTGGCATCTCACTGGCGTCCCTTCTTCATCTACTAATCTCCATCCAAACGTATCGTGGTAAACCCAGTGGTTAATGTTCATTGTTCGTCACTGTACAGTCACATCATTCCAAAGCATTGTAACAGCAATTTGCGATAAACGCAATTGTGAACAAGTCGTAACGAAAATAACAATCACGCTAAAATACTATTACGCTAATAAAAAATTACACTAGCGACAAACTATTCGCAACAAGTCTACAACTATGCACTACGCTAATTCTACAATTATCAAATAAATAATCAAACACAGTGACACACCTCGACGTGTTGCAATCAATCAAATAAATAAGCTCCACAGTCACTACAGTCACAATATTTCGTCTGCAAATCGCGATTTTCAATGACAGATCTTGCCAAATCTTCAATAAATTATCCTAAACCAATTTTTCCTTAGCGAAATCTTTTTCACCGGTTTTGATATTTACTTTGAAATTATTTCGCTATTTTTACGGAAAAATCGATGTCAAATCTGTCTGAGAATTCACCGTTTCATTTCAGACTGATGAGAGAATTCGTTTCCCTTCTCGTTTTTAAAATTGAAATTAAGATCGGACGTCACGAGTTTTTTTTTCCTCGCGTAATTTGTGGAAGACAAATCACCGACCGCTAACACGGCTCCGGCAGTGTCTCTTTGCACTCGTGTACCTCTACGTCGACCACAATCGACGTACAATCGTTGCCCGGGCAAACGCGCGCGCGATCGAAATCGTTAACGGCCTGATCCGCGGTCCGGATTTTGGCCGTCCGATCGCGCTGTGCCACCTCGTTGAGAACGTCGGGCCCGTCGGTGGTCTCCTCCAGAGGCTCGTAATGACCCGGCTTCACCGATGGCGTCCGGCTCAGCGGCGCCTGCGACCGTTTCACTTGCTGTCGCATCGCGTCCTGGCTTACCTTGTTCAGTGCTCGAAGCATGTTGTCCGGCATATGATCCTGTATCATCACCGGGCTGATCAGCACCTCGTCGAAGTCGCATGGGCCGGCCCACAACGCCTGGTACACCGGTTCGCGCTTGCTCAACATTTGCCTGAAATTTAACATGAAAAATCAATCTCGAGCCACATCAAAACTCGTAATCGTTTAACGTAATCTTGATTCTATCAGTATAAAAATTTTTTAGTCACATGTATTATTTGTAAATATCTACCAATTGCAGCCGTTGTATCGTGGATAAAAATTAATAAACTAATTAATTAAAAACAAATATTTTATGTATTTCTGTAACAAAAAAAATATTGCAATTAATTATCACGTTTATTGTCATAAATTTTATTGGAATCTTTATGATAAAAATCTTTAAACAAAACTTATGTCTAATCGCATTCAGCATTCAACGTTTGAATAATTATTCTACTTGAATTCTACTTTTTATACATAATTTAATTTTTTAATTCTTTCTTTTCTTTAATTTTAAATTCTTGTTCTAATAATTTTTTTCTCATTAGATGATATAAAAAAATGTGGAAAATATCTTTGTAATAAATCATGCTAATTTTCTACGAGCATGCAGCCTACTTTAGGAGGATCATAATAAAAGGATTACGAATGAAAACTGCTTTGATGGATTATGATGGATGTACTATCAAAATTTACTCAGCTATTGAAAGTTATCCAATCATTCCTCTTGGTATTGCTCGTGTGAAATATTCTGATCATGCATATGTTGTGTCTCAAAAAAGATGTATACAAGTGCATACATTTGATTTTAAAAGAAAGTGCAAACGATTTGCTCTAAATTATCACATAGATTTGCAAGAGTAAATTAAATTGAATTTTCGATTTAATTTCTTATTCTAACTTTAAGTTTATTGAAAATAAATTAACAATCGTATTCTTGTAAAATATCTATCGTGTGAAACTGATGCGTTACATTCTGATTAAAATTGAAGTATGCAATTTTGTATTATTGAGATTAAATTATTTTCAATAAAACCAACTCATACAAAAAATAAAATTCCAATGCACTGGCGTACATTTTTCTCGAGAATTCTTTAAATGAGAACAATTCTAATAAAGCAAAATTTCCAATATTAAAAAATATAGTTAGAGAAAAAAGTTAGTTAATTAATACAACATGTAGACCCAAGATACACATGCGGACGCATATCTTCAAGAAGCAACAACCCAGAGTAACCCTGAAAATGTATAAATTATCTGATAAACGTACCTCCAATGCGTCTCATATTTCTGCCTAAAAAGAAACATTCCGATTAACTTTTTGTCTTAATCAAATGGGCCTATCTCGCGTATAAAAGTATCGAACATCGTGCAATTATTCTTTTAGCGCTTCTATTGCATGTGCAGAAATAACTTTACAATAAAGAAATATTTCGAACTGCAAATATCAACAAAAATTTAATAAATAAATATAATACAATTAATTGAGATTAATATCAATTAATTCCAATTAAAATAATATTGAGATTTTTATCCATTATTATTGCCGTATACGATGGTTTATTCAATTTTAAATAAATGTACGTAAAAATCACTTCCATCGATGTAGTTTAATTAAATTTTCAAGTACAGTGATTGTTTTAAAAATGAATTACAATCCTGTTTTGGGTATAGAAATATAGAAAAAAATATGGCTTCTACTCACTCGCCCTTGTTGGGATGATGTCGCACCACGTGTATAATTCGTCCTGGTGGATATAAGGGCCGATGCAAGGTCAGGGCGATGCTGGAGTCGCTGGGTACGACGGTCTGAGCGCGCGCTCGGTCTTTATCACGTTGGTATTCGCTGATGCAACCACCGGCCTCTAGATTTGCAGCTGATGTGGGCGTCGAGCCGCAGCCACAGCACATCACCGAGCACGCAATCGTCTTCCACTGGAACAGACGCATATCTACGTCATTTGGCAAATTTATAATATCTACGCATGGTTTATCTCGTAACCGTTATCTTAGAAAACAGAACGTTTATTAAAGCTTGCATGCTTTGAATAATAGTATTAAATTTATAAATTTAAATTGGGTTTTATATCTTCCTATATAAAAATAGCTTTAAATTTTAAACTAAAAAATAAATAAATAGATGTGCAAGGGATGATCGAAAAGTATCTGAACTGGATTTATTTATAACAGCGTTGAGTTAAGTGTATGGCTTCGTGGAAGAGGGAACTATTTAGAATAGAATTAAATTTCAAATCTCAAATCTTGTAGGTTTTTTTTAAATAAATCCAATCCAGACATTTTTTATCACACTTCCTATTGAAAATGCGTTTAAATTTAATTTATTTAAATTATTAATCCTCATTAAACTGATAATTTTTCGCATATTTTTTCTTACTTTTATCGCTAATTTTATCATTATTGGTAGTTTAAAACTTTTGTAAATTAAATCGAGAAAAAGTTTCGAAATATATAACCAGAAATATCTGCTTCATGACATATTTGATCTCAATTTTTCTGAAATGTTCTTCAATTGAATTAATTTGCGAAATAACTGCTGAACCATTAAACCAGACATGTGAGAAATGCTGATCTAGCCTGAAAATAGCTTTTTAGCACCTTGGGATCGACGCTCCTCTTTATGGCGTTGATGAGATCCGCCCTCAGACTCTCCATCTGCCGGAGTCCAATGCGCGGTACAACATCCTTGCCCACTACGACGGAGGTGATGAATTCCTGCGTATACTGCTGAGCGGGCATGCTCAGCAGTCCGCCGGGTGGCCCGAACGAGAAGCACATCAGGTCCGGATAATCCTGCTTTAGCAAGATCGCGAGAATTGCCGCCGTACCGGCGCCCAACGAGTGCCCCACCAGCGTAAGTCCGAATTGATGTGTGCCCCTCGAGTGATCCTGCGGCATAATTTTTGATCATTTTCATTGTATAGATTTTTTTATACCAACACGAAACTCCAGGAAAGCCTAATCACAAAACTAATTTAATGTAAATGTTTAGTTTTCAAAGATTAAATTTTACACGATACGTCATAAATATTCATAGATAATACAAATATTCGACACGATCAATTTGTAACTTTTCAATTATGTATATCATTATTTAAATTCGATTTATTTCATTATTTTGATTAAACAAATATTTAACTTTGTCTTATATCCTCAATAGAAAATTCCATTGCGGCAAAACGGATTCAGCACAGCACGCACGGTTGACGGTATTGTCTATTCATACATACATAAGCTTTATGTATCGCACGGAACGGCGAGCTGAAAAATTTAACTGCTCCGAAACGAAATACACTCAACGACACGTTGGCGGGTTGAATCCACGATGAAAAGGTTAGTAGCGCATATTTCGTTACGATCGAAAGTGTGCGGATGACCTGGATGGTGGAGATTTTTTTCACTAATGCATATTCAAAAGGGATTACACGAGAGATTTTTTATCGCGTCAGAGAAGAGGCGACTATTAATGCCGAGGTAAATACAATGCAAAATTTTGTACTATAAATTAAAGATAAAAACTTTGTGTAAAATTATGAGCATCGTATGACGCTTGTTGCGGGGCCTGCATTGTTTCATTATCGGCTATTATGCGAACGCCGGCGAAGCGCGGCATAATAATTACTTCGAGACTATCGCCTATATTTCGATAACAGGCGACGAGGCGCGGCTCATTTGCACACGATATGCCCACCTTGGCGCGAGCACGCGCGATGATATCCTCCTCCTGTAGCTTCTTGCGTATGTATTCGGCAGCTTGCACCATTCCCTTGTGCCCGAACCAGTCCTCCCTCGGCGGTGACAAAGGCAGCACTTCGCCCTCGGCGTTCAGGTCCGTTAATACATCCTTCATGCTTATCGTCCCTCGTATACTAACTACAATCTGCATGTGAAAGAAACATATAGTTATCGGAACGCAGAAAAAAAAAGATACATCTCGGATGAATTTAATAACAATTTGAAAGAAAAGTGTAAAAATCCTAAAGTGATAAATTAATAATAAATCTGTAGAAAAATATAGATTCACAGATGACAAATCAGCAAGGAAGAGATACAGATAAGCCAATAATACAAATGTTGGAAATTATAAAAAAAAGTTCGTTAATTAACTCTTCTGTTATTCGGAGAGAAAGAGAGAGATAGATAAGATTATCTCAATTAATAAAGCTGATTCCGCAAAGTGGTCTTTATCAAAACTGATTTTATCACAAATTCATCCGTTCGTCGATGGAATAAACTTTGCCTCTCTCTTTAAAGAGGCTAATGCAGTTTCGCGACGACGTCGGCGACGTGGCGATTAACGAATGATACAGCCGAGATAAGCCGCGTCGGCGTCGGCGACACGAACCTTTTTCTTCGTGTAATCAAGCGCGACGAAGAACGGCGTCTCGCCGACGTCAACGTGGAAGGTCGCGTACACGACCTCGATCTCCCCCAGATCGAGCATTCTGCTCAGCGCAGCGTAGTTGCATCGGCAGCAATTGTCCTCGATGATCGTCGCCTCGTCCTCGTGGCGGGCGCCGCACGGGAAACAGCAGCAGCAGCATTGCAATCTGCGGGAAGGTAAACAAGGTAAACGAGAACAATGCACCCGACATGTTTACGGTGCCGCGGACAAAGTATCGTGGAGAAACTCCGAGGCGTTGTATACACGTGAAAACACCGATATAGAAAATACATATAATGAACAATATGCAGTACTTTGGATTAATAGCTTTCTGGTTGAGTCATTTTCATTTTGTTCCACGAAGTTACTATGAAGTACTATTACGCTTCGCGGCCGTTTATTCCTCAAAGTAGTGTTGACTCGCGATTCTAACATCTCGTGCAACTCTTCGCACCGTATTTCCTTGTCCAAGTTTTCCCCGCGATATTCCATAGCGAAGTTTTCTTATATGCTGCGTCGCAATAAAGCCGAGGTGTGCAATAAATTCGCGTATACAAGATAAATTTTATTATATATAAAAAAAATAAAAGATTTATCTCTCACGTTCAATCAGAAAATAACAAAAAATACATTTTTTTAATTCTAAATTCACAAAATATTTCAAATATAATACGAGCTTTATTTGAGATCGTGTAAAATATTTGTAAACAACAAATCACGTCTTGCGAATAAGATTCTGCAAATTTTATTCTGAACTTTTTTACTTATTCAGAATAAGATTTATATAAGCACGCAATATGTTAGTAATATAATAAACACATTTTAACTTACTATTATTATAATTAATCATTTATCGCTTCAGAATTGAGGAGAGTCCCGCCGAAGCGCGCGGTCAAATAAAGGTTATTGCAGCTCTAATTAGAATGCATATTACACGATAATATCGTAAGCGTCCGGAGAGATTACCTGGTGCACAAGTGGCAGAGCTCGGTGGAGGGGCCGACCAGGAACATGGGCCAGCCGTAGGCGGCGAGGGCAAAGTGCATGTAATGAATGGCCAGCTGAAAGTGACCCAGATCACCGTCTTCGGTCAGAGAGAGGAACTTGGTGCGTGGGGTGACCGGCACCCCCGACAGGAACTCGTACGTATCGTTCTTGCGCTGCTTCACGATTAGCTCGCGCTCAATTTTCTGGAATTTCCTCAGCAGCACCAGACCGGCCACCACATCCGACGGCACTACGTCCAAGTCGCGGAAGAAGTCGCTCAGCAGCCGGGCGATGTCGGCGAACGAGTTCTACAAGCAGCACAAGTGGTTTTCCATTCTCTCCCGGAACAAGGATATTCCTCGTTAAAAACCGAAGTAATCTCTTTCACCGCCCAAATTCAATTTAACGCTAACGGTCTTCCACAGTTTACGAAATTTTAAGATTAAATGTCTTGGTTACTCGCTTCCTTTCATTAAATTATTAGTAATTCAATGAATAATTTTATTTCTCTCTCTCTTTAAAAATCATTATATCGAGACTTTTGAAAGATTTATCTTCAGATTTTAAATGCTTCGTGCACAATAGATTTTATTTTGAAATCAATTCGTATTTTGCAATGTAAAGAATTCTATTCCTTCAAATTCTTCCTTAATATTTTTTCTACGCCACTCACTCGATTACGATCGGAGTTGCCCATGCAGCAGAACAGCAGTCTGCATCTGTTGTCCCAACTATCCTGATAGGCACGTATGACTTTTCTGCAATAAAGGAGGAAGATTTGAAGTCGCGTGTTTCGAAACATATAATGTTCGTCCAGGCGTCAACGCATAAATCCGCGCGGCCATAAAAACCGCACAGCGAAACGAAATTTCACGACGGAACATAAAACGAGCCGAACGACGCGATTGTCGCAGTGGAAAAACCGCGGCACTGGTCGGACACATTTAGAAACGGGAGTGCACCGCTATTTTCCGCGACGCGATCTCGCTGTTTCAGATTTTACCCGCTATCTCGGCTTTCATTTATAATAAAGCCGAACATTCGAGATTGAATTGACGTTCGTTTATGATTTTTATCGAAGAAAAGATACTTGTTATCGGAGAAAAATTTAGAAGAAAGAGGATAGAAGTCTGAGACATCAAACTGCAACTTCCGTCTTCGGAAAAGATATAAAAATGTAACACAATGTTCTATACAATTCGCATTTACAATTACAATGCGTATAAAGATAGAAAACAAAATCAGATTTTCATGAAAGAAATATTTTCGTAAATCAAAAGAAAGACTATTTTATATATATTTAATCCGCGGTGGACAACAAGTACAAAACGCAATGCGAAAAATCGTTGCGGGACACCTTACCGTTGTCGCCAATTTCGATTTCTGCTGCCGCTGCGTTTGTAATGCAGTCTGGCCCCCCTCGACTCCGCCTCCCGCATACTGCGCTGATACTTCTTCATTTTCACCCAGGACCTGCCGGCGGCGTCGTACGTGCACCAAATGGTCACCATCATCAACGCCAACAGGCACCAGTTCGATATCACCAAACCTGTCCAGCGCAATACAGATCGTTTTCGCATTTTCGCGACGTTGATTTACAGCCGTATATTAAATTTCGCTTGCGGATAAAATTTTACAAAATTGAAAATAACGTACAACATTTTTATACGACGACGAGAAATTGAATATATATGTTTTCTGTCAAACGTAATTGCTATTAATACATTAGAAACATTTTCAAGCATTTTGTGTGCACATTTATATTTTTATCTATTATTGTAGACTAGTAGTTATATTTTATAAATGCAACTCCAACTTTTTTTATTAAAAATTACGAAATTTATTTCTATTAGCAAAAGTATCCTGGACGGTCGGCTTTAGTTTCATTTTCAATGATTTACCTGAAATATCGGTCTACAGACGGTTGACTATAAATTTTTAAGTAGAACGGAGAGAGCCTCTCGAATATGGAACTTACCTAACATAACATCTTTAGCTTGGTCCACTGGACAGGTTTGATAATAACGCGCTAACCAAGTAACACCTGCACACAGCCATCCAATTTCCACCAGTACCATAACTGGAAGCAAACCCGCAAAAGCCCAAGTCATAATCTTTTTCTCCGCTTCATTTCCAGCTCGACAACTCGTGCAAAATGACATTTAATTGGTCAGCATGCTGATATTTTTTTTTTAAATACACAATAAGTCGGAAAATAAGAATTGTAGAAATATCTCGAGCAATTTTTATATCTTTCCGTTATATCTCTCGATATAACTGCGTACTTTCGAGCCGATAACTATGCCGTTTGAGCTTATGCAAGCTTTCTCGCAATAACGAGGAAGCACGCGCATATCACGCTGACTGACGTAACTCCGCGCCGGATGAAGATTGAAACGATCGATGCTTTCTTTGAGGCGCAGAACGGAGCTCACAAAAGCGCGTATCCGCACTATCTGTCGAAGCGGAAACACACGGCCGATGGGGGCGGCGGGCGCGTTTCCGCAACGGAACAAACACGGTTGACCCAGTTGCGACAGTAACCGCGACGATGAGTTCGAGACTTCGAGCGAGTCACCACAAAGGATTAACAAATGGATTCGAGGTGTCTAACATTCTTCACCATCGTCGCATCAAATTTTAATGAGACTCTTCGGTGAAGTCAAAGTTGGCTCTTATTCGACGGAGCGAACTTATCTAACTAGAACTCGTTGTCAGTCATTATCGTCGGATAATACGCATTTTGACAGCAAAAATTTGTCCATGCAAAATCCAAAATTAAATATTATAAGATAATATTTTATTTCAAATAATCTGAACGAAAAATTTAGCGTAAATCACTAATGACGCACGCGGAACGTTAAGTTCTCTTTAAAGCTTTGTGTGTGTGTTGTGCGTGATAAGAAAAATTTAAATTTCTTGAATATTTTCTCATAAAAAGTAAATGTTGCGACGCGTAACGGTGTTTCTCCTTTAATTCGATCTAAATATCCGCGAAGCACCGCGAGAAGGAATCCGACTCTGTTGTGGAATGCGGAAAAATAATTGGTCAGTAAATCGAATTTCCCCAAATGCTTAATATCACCTCGTTCTATTTACATCAGCCGACGTTAAACCATAATTGAATTGCGAATTCATTTCGCGCGAACTCTGCAATTTAACGATATTGCCTGATGAAAAATGAATCACGAGGTCGGATTGGGAGTGCTCAAATAAAGACGAGAGCATTTTAATATGTATATGTAAGATGAATTAAATATCGTCTCAAGAATGAAATGCAAAAAAAGTGAAATCCGCAGTAGATATAAAAATTTGAGCAAAAAAATAAAAAAGACTAGTGGTGAAAAATTACAAAATATTGTCGATAAATAACCGTACGAGAATGTACACATTGTTATATGACGTCGCGCAACACGATAAATATTATGATTGTCATCGAACCATTTCGTCAATACCATTTTCATGCTGACATTTACTCGTATTGACCTACAGAAGTTTAATAATACTTTCGATGAGCAATGTTTACGTATCTGAATTTACGACTGATCGTAAAAGATTTCAAAAATCACGAGCATGAAACACAGCAAACATTTCTAAAATATTTTAACTTTTTATAAATCAATGAAACAAATTTTTTCATTGAAAGAAGGAAATAAAAATGGAAAAAAATTTCTTTTATTTTCTCACATAAATTCGTAAAGGAATTTTTCTCATTCAAATGTTTTTTATCTACATTAAAATTAATTATAGAAAAAAATAAATATGAAATAAATTGTAATAGAAGTGACAAGCGTATCAAATAAATAAATGATACATTTTTTACATTTCATTCCCTTGAATAATAAATTCATAAAATAATCACGAAAAATGTATGTATTCTAAAGTCAAATGCATCATACGCGTGATTATTTAAAGTAGTTTAGGTAAATAACTTAATTATTTCTAATATTGGGGGGCTAACTTCACTCGTATAAATGCATCGCTTCTGTAACATGAATTTTTTTATTTCGGTTTCAATTGAAAAAAAAAACGAGATAAGAAACTGTGGATAAATAAGCATGTCGAATAAAGTACTCACACAGCCGGATGTAGAGAAAGTACTGCATCGACGCCCTCGCCGTAGTGTCCAGGATGCTGCCCCGCGTCGCCAGGAAGCAGATGTAGAACTCCACCAGTATACAGACCACGAAGAGGACCTCATATCCGATCATGTATTCCCACAGGAGAAAGATGCATGGTACGCTACGATCCCACTCGAGGATCCCCAGTAGAACGCCCAGCACCGTGAGCCTGTAAACCCGTAAAGAAACATCTCTTTAAGGTGAACGTCAGATAACACCTAAACCTAGTTTCCGACGATAAACGGCGCGTTTTTGAAATTATATATCGGTGGTTTTACGCGCGACGTTCTTATATATACATTTCCAGTTTATGTACATACGTATATCCAAGGCATCAATCATTGTGTAACATTTATTGTTTTTATCTCATTGAAAATTTTATTAGCATTTTATTAACATTCCATTAGAATTTCGTGAAAAAAGCAAACGCAAAGATAGAATAAAATGTGACCTTATGTAATTAATATTTTGTACTATCTAGATATTCGTTTTTTTTGTGCAGAAATTACTAATTGTTACGTAACTTCCCGCGCATCGATATCTATTATATAATAGGATATCGAGTTCGCCGTTTTCAATTTTCAATTACACATCATCGGTGATAGATGAATACACAAAGGCGGAACCTTTCCGCTGACGTTGGCGGAAACTTGCACGTTCGAACTTTGCGAACCGCGGCCTTTTGTCATACACATGGTGTATAGATCACGCTGTGATACACGCTGGATAGAAATGTGCGGGGACTACTTTTGGTTGGAAACCGTGCGATAGATGCAACCGCATCGAACTGCATCGGAGAGCTTTCAAGCGGTTCGATCAACCGGAAACTCCCTTTAACAAACACCGGACAAATGATCTTCGATTCGCGGCGTTTTTCGACGAGTGTCAAAGCCGCAAAGAAAATTAATTTCGGCATCAGCGTTCTAAAAAAAATATATATCGGCCCGCAGATATTAATAAAGTAAATTTATCTTGATACGTTAATATCGAGAAATGGAAACTCTGAAAATATGAGATATACGAACTATATGAAACGCGATTCTCTCTTTATTATCGAAAATACAGCAGTTATTTCTCTTAATTAATTTTTATTTCGAAAAATCGGAGAAAATTAAATTTCATAAAGCGCAGTGTAAATAACAAAAAAATTTTATGCAAGTGGGTGCTCATAATACAACAATAATGTGAAATATCATTGGTGTCGAGCTAAGCAATATCGATGTAAAATTCCGCGAATCCCATCCATATATCCTATCGGTTCTTTCTTTTTTAGAGTGCCAAGGATATGTCTGCCGATGATGGCGATCCTTTCACATGCTGAACGATGAGGCCACCGTGCACAATACCCCATCATATTCCGTGTCGTTTCGCGCTATGCGGCACTACTATGCGGCATGACGCCCGGTCGGCGAACAAGTCCCGAACACGTCCCGGACGGAATGTCTGCCGGTCGTCTCGTTGACATGACACGTATCACCCGAGAGAGAGAGAGAGATATGGATTCTATGCGACATATGAAATATTTCTCTAGAGATCGCTCAGGCTGCCGGAACTGATTGCATTTTGCGCGTAACGATCACATGATAATAATAATGTCATAGCACGCAGAAACAATCGATCTGGCAAATATTGTCTTGGGACGCTTAAATATTAGAGATTGTGGTTTATGTATCTGCTATAATATTCAACTACCAATATGTTCCGCATTGTGAGATGAAAACGCGACCGCAATTCAATGTTTCAAAGAATTTAATCGGAAAATACCTCATGAAAAATTATGAAAAGCATTTTAATGCATATAAATATATATAGAGAAAAAGTTTCTCTATTATGTAACATATCTTCGAATCGTACAAAACTTTACACCAAGTGAAAATATAAATATATTTAAATAATTGCATAAAAGAATATCTGTTTATGCAAGCACGGCCATGCTGAAAAGTGTGGCACGAGGTGGTGGATCGACTACAACATGACGCAAAGAAATCCAAGGGGGTGCGAGAGAGAGAAAGATAGGGGAGGGAAGGAAAAAGAGAGTAAGAGAAAGAGACCGACGAAGAAGGGAGCTGCAAGGGGAAGGAACGTTACGAGGGAGATAGCAGAGAGGAGACGAAGGGTCGTCAGAGCCTTGGATGCTGCATGGTTTCGTATCGATTTACCTTGTAGCCGGCTTTCCCGCCGTTTTCATCGCGGGCCGCCTTGCCTAGAGACGAGAGCTCAAGGAAAAGCGAAAGAGCCAATTTCCACTCTTTGCGATCTTATATCAGCGGCGAATCAAAGGTATTACTTCTCTCGATACATTAAACATCACGTGCGCACACAGCTTTCTTTTAATATTGCAAAAGTCTAACGTAATTCCTAATTGGAGAAAAAACATTTTGCACAGCTGAAGCACCCTTTTCCTCCTATTCGTGCTAAAAATAGCTAATCCGTTAAAAGTAAAGCACAGAATGTGCGAACAAATATTAAGAAAAGACAGAAACATTTAATACAGTAACAATCGAGATAAAGATAAATATAAAAATGCAAATGCAAATAAAAATTTCTTATATAATTTTCTTTTTTTATACTTTTAAGAGAATCGTCACAAAAAAATATTTTAATTTAAGACGTTCCAAATTAATTACTTGAGGAAAGTTGTTCGGAGTTTACGAAGAATTCTTCCACTTGGGAGATACATAAATTTAATCTAATAAAAGAGTGTCCAATGTGTGTACAATGCCGCGACAAAAAATTTTTTTTATAAATATTCAAGCAGAAATGCAGGCAGAAATAAAGTCAACAAGGATCCTGTGTACAGGATGGTTTCGAATTTATGTGGGAGAATCTTTTATATCTTTTATATCGTTCGACATAAACTTCGTTCGATCCGTGAACGACGACGTGAGCGAAATTGCGGCAATCAAGAACTTTGCGTTTTGTCGACGATTTGTATTCCAATAACTTTCCTCGACATTTACATCGCGGTCTTTGCTCGTTCCGCCCTGTGGTCTCATCTCGCTTCGCACCCTTCAAACTTCGAGAATTGCCAATTTACGCAACTAACGAAGGTCGATTACCCCAAGTGCGCGACTGACACAAAAAAGATGTTTATATCAGTGCTTTTGAAACAGTTCCCTTTTGGATTTAAGATAACTTTCATAATTTGTTTCTGCTCATTTATCATATAAATATTCCAAATAATATATCTCTTCCTATATTATCGAGAATTTTGTTTCTCAAGAAACAATAATTATAAAAATAAAAAATTAAATAGATTTTTTTTTATTGTTATCTCTTCATTGACTAAATATTGTGATTTTTTTGATTGTATTTTAAAAATAAAAGATTTTTTAATATAATTTTATATAATATATATATATAATTAAAAGTAATTAAAAACTCTGACATGATATAACAGCTAGCAGCAAACACGATTGCGCAAGTTGCGAAGTTCGTGTCACTTATAAGCTTGATTTGGAATATCATTGCAGAATAGTGACAATGTCCCAACATTCTCTATTCAGCGTATGCATGTACGGTCTAGCACTATTGTCTATTATGACTTCCAAAGTGTTGTCGCGAAAAGCAATAGAACACATATGATATTGTATGTTATACTTGGGTCATGTCACGGATAACAAGTCGTTAACAGAACTCTGGAGGCAACTCAAACAGGTACGTGTCTATAGACACATGTAGATACTAATTAGAGTGCCGCGTACTTGAAATTAACGTCATACTCACGTTATATTATAATGAGATAGTAAATTATTACAAGAAAATAGATAAAATATAAGAATTTGAAAATATTACACTATTACATTCTAATTACAATTTATAATTATCCTATATGCAATTAAAAAACTGTATAATTATATTTCTGTTATAATAAAATAGTTATATAAATATCAAAGTAAGCTTTTTCAAACGAAAGTTTAGATAGAAAAATCCAGAACAACCAAATTGCAATTTTAAAGCAAAAAAATATAAAATATTTTGTTAACGATCCTATTTTAATTGATGGTTCGTGTGAAATATTAAGAGCAGTTAAACATCGCAGTGAAAAAAGTCGGCGTTTGCACGGCCAGCCTGGAAAAAAACGCCGATAGTCGAGTTTATGTCTAGTTTAACGTGGTCGCCATCGACGAAACGTCTCATTACCGTATCTTGTAAAAATTATTCGAGCGAAAAACTGCCGTTCCTCCCCCTGCGCCTCACTTTTTCCAGAGTCGCTATTTATCCCATGCTCCTATCGAATTTAACAGGAAATTTAATAACGTACTTCATAACACAAACGATTTCAGTGAACTTGTTTATTGAACGATAAACTTTAACGCGTTTTTATGATATATTTTAACATGAAATTGGCAATTCTTGTGACGTACCGTTTATTATTTCTGTCACCGAACGTAAACACGTACCTCACAAGTATTTTATAAACGTATTTTCATATAAATTTATCTATTATTAATTTGTAACAATATTAAAAAATCTTAACAAAAAAATGTAAAGGGGATAACGTGCTGTTAATTCATCATATGAATTAAGTAAAGAGCTATTAAATTTTCCAATAAACTGATAAGAAAAGACCAATAAAAGCCAATATTGCAGGTGCTTGTCCACACATTATTCAAATTCTAAATAAATACACTAAACGAGTTAGAACTTTTCTCAATAGCAATTTGCTTTTCCTTACAATTTAATATGTTATATCATGCAACAAATGTATGCCTTATTACAAGTGCAAATTGCGTTCTATCGATAACACAGATAATGCGTACACAAACACGCTTAAATGCACTGGCGAAAGAGAAATCTCCGTAAATAAATGGTCTTCATTTTAAATAAAATAAAATAAAACCATCGACAGATCATAACTCACTAGAAAATTTTTAATTCAATAATTTTAAATCTTTAGAAATCTCTAAAATATCGTTTCAATCACTCACTCTGCAAGTTGAAATCGCGAATTTGCCGTTTAATAAACATGTAAAATTTATGCATTTGAATATTCATCGTTTTACACAAAAAATTTTTAATAACTCATTCTTATGCATTGATTCGAGCTATTAACTATTTACAGTTTCCAGTCAAATAATGAACCGTATTAGTTCAAGTAATCTTTTTTAAGGGGAGAATAATATATTCAATAATGTTTTGTGTATGTGTCTATTTTTCATTCTCGAG